TTTCTTTGCACTAGGTTTACGCGACTTGGTGCCTTCCTTAGTTGCAAAGATGGCGAATTTCATTGGTATTTCCCCTGGCCAACTTAACCCACACGCTTGGAGGGTGTTGATCACCATCCAAGTATTTAGCGAGATTTATTCTGTGAGTTTAGGATTGGAGGAGGTTCTCTTTGTCTACTTCTTCAAATGCTATGATTCTGTTAACTACCGATACTTGATCCAGAAGAGACGTCCAGATTCAAGTCCTTTGGTATACGACCTAGACAGGCAGGTGAGGTACAAGACTCCATACGAGAAACAATGGCATAAAAAATTCGTCTTTATGCGTCTAGGTCGTGATCCTGGTTATCCTGTCTCTTGGTTTCCTAGACGTAGATGAAGATTGCTGGTATAGGTTACATCACTACTCTTTGGTTAATCTCATGGTTCTTTTTTTCTTTTTTTATGCAGCTATCGAGTGTGATAAGTTCCCTGAAGGCGTAAACGGTGTCACAAGAGCTTTTGATTTCACCAAAGAGCAACGTGAAGTACTTTTTTTAACTAGTTTTTTCGCACTAGAGAAGAGTTCCATTTGGGGTAAGCCAACATTATAGACATCGTGTGTCTTATTCTTATTGAATTACCTGCCCATCCTCATATTTATGACTTTGCTTTGCAGGTTACGAGATGTCAATTCTTGATGCTGTACCAGGAGATGGTTCAATCAGAGACGATGCTTTGCAATTGTTTCGCGAGGCCATGTCTGACATTCCAGCGAGTATCACTGCACCGCCGCTGCAGACATTACAGCCATCCTCACAAGTTGGTCCTAAGCGTAGCGCAACAACAGCTAACTTAACCCGCCAACCTGCTAGGACTGCCAAGAGAAAGTTCTGTGTTTGTCTAGGCGGTAGCTTGTTGACTGCGAGTGACCACTCTATCGCCTTAGGTAATCTAAGAAAACAAGTTTTCCCACGCGACCGAGAAGCTTTGAATGAACTAGGACATGCTGCTATACTTGAGAAGTCACAACATCATCTCTTGGAGGTTCATTGTCTTTCCCTCTCGCTATTTTTCCTTATATATGTTTCTCGGACTTGTCTTGAGTTACTATGGTTTCACCTTGTTTGTAGGTGATGTCTGTTTGTAGTCATGTCAAAACAGAACTTGATGCTTTGACATAAGAGGTTGCTCGTCTCAAAGAGGCTAACCAACTCCTAAAGAAAGACAAAGAGGCAGAGATCTTACGTCGGGATTCTCTTATTACCGCTAAGGAGGCAGAAGGTGAAGCCTTGAAAGATCAAGTTTACGACCTTACTAGCTAGCTTAACTCGATGACGAGAAACTCCGAGCAGCTAGAGCAAGATCTTGCGCTGTACAAGAAGAAGCTGCATGCAGCTGGACCTGCTGCAACCATCCGTTGTCGTTGGAAGATGGTGCAGGAATACATGAATGGTCACGCGAAGAACTAGAAACCATTGCCTGTTGAGCAACAGTTCAGGGAGGTAGAGACCGCATGGGCCAAGCTTAATGGGGAGGTTCCGCCAGTTTTCCCAGAGGCTTTCACAATGTTTCCAGAAGCCAAGTCCGCTCCTACTTCTACCGAGTAGTAATTGTTGTTGTTTGATTTTTGTGAGTCTTTGCTATTTAAACTTGTCCTTTGAACTCTCTTGGTGATGCTTGTACCGAGGATAGACCTCGTGAACTTCTCACGTTTATTTTTTTAGCATGTTAGCCTGTCGGATATGTAGGGGTAAAAAATAACCTTTTGGGGAGGATCTCCTCTTTTATTTACTTTTGTCAGACATCATTGATCTATCAGATTTATAATGAACATGTCTGTTGTACCTTTGCCCTATAGTAGCTACATATTTAGCATTCACCAAGGTTTTTGTTACATGCATCATGTTATCGTATTTTGTTCTTTGGGGGTCTTGCCTCTCGTTTTCACGTGGTAACACAAGTTGTTATAACCCGAGGAAGCCGGTAACTTTTTGTCTACTTGACTCCATTCAATATTTTGCGAGGTCGTACCTCTTTACAAATTTGGAATTAACTTCGTTGAGCATTTTCCGGGGGTTGTGCCTCCTAATTTATATTGTTATAGTGATTGTCACAAGTTCGAGGCGTCCCTCTTCGTCTTGTGAGGTTATGACCATTATTTTTGTTTGCGAGGTTGTACCTCTTGTTTTGTCAGGTATTGACTCTCGCCATTTCCTTATGAGGATGTACCTCTTAATTTGTCAGGTGTTGACTGTCGTCATAACCTCTTACTTGTTAGGTTGTGCCTTTAGATTATCTCGTGGATGCTCCTTGTCACGTTTTTGGGAAGTATTGCCCCCTTAGTTGATTGAATACTTGACCGTAGTCAAACATCAAATTTAAAGATGTTTCTTTTAGTTCTAAGGAAGTTGTGCTTCTAAACACTTAAACTTGACTATTACTTGAGTATTTGCATAAAAGACCTCGTGAAATTAACATGTCAAAGCTCCTTCATTATAATCCGTGTCCGTAGACATGTTGTGAACAACTCTCTTTTTTTTTTTTAAATTCACAA